CCACACTTCCATAACCCCACAAACCTTGTGTTCTTATGCGTGTCGTTATATTAAATATCTCAATATATATATATTTATTAAACGGTGAGGACATTAAAATAAATAATAATAATAATAAAATCCTAAAAGATCACGGACTCTATGCCCCACACAACATGGCGAATGACCTACAATATGTGATCACCCTACCCACAGCGGTCGAAATCATGAACGCTCAAGGTGGGGAATCCGTGGAAGGATACACTTTAGAGAACATCGAACTGGAATACGAGTCCATCGACAACATCGATCTCTCAAGGAAAGCCGAGGGTCTGTACGGATCCGAACGCCAGCTATCCTTCGAACACGCTACCCTAATGAAGAAAACGGAATGGAGCAAGGTTTCCACCATCAATAACGAACGATCAACGTACAACGCAGAAGTATGAAAGCCATCGTCATGCTATTCACAAACAAGACAAAGACGGACAGCGAGGAATATATTTATCCCAACATTGAAAAGGTTAGGGTAACCATAGAAGGTGTTCCCAATGCAGTCTACAGTCAAGGTATCCCAAAACAAGAATGTACGAGGAGGCAAGGCGACTGTTCTGTACCGACGAAATCAGTCACCAGACACTAACCGGATTCTTCAAAGACAAGAAATTCGCACTGGCCATCGACCTCAGAACCGCAAGCGACGCCAACACATATGGAAACGGTGCTAAAATCCAGAACACCCAATCTGGAATACTGGTGGAAATCACAAAGAAAGCCACAACTGCAGACGTTGTATGTTACTTGTTCGTCCTTTCCGACTGTGTTATCAAGATCGTAAACGGACAACTTGCTGGAATAAAGTATTAAAATTACTCGAGAACTACAGTTTTTCCATACTCAACAGAGTTTGGAAAATTTTTATGCTTGATCATCGGTCTCCGGTCCTTCCCCAGAAGTTGACTGTCCAGGTGTCTTCCGATAGACATGCTTTACCGTCGTAACTCCACCACTAACAATACCCAGGTAGGGTATGTATGGGGACAGCTTTGCCACTACACTTTTAACATCACTCTTGAACAATTTATCCTGATTCAATTCCTCCCTCAATTCATTCGCACTATCCACCATACTGATAGCTTACATAAGATCCGAAAACTTTTCAACCAAAGCCTCTGCCAACACCACATTTGCCTTTTCTCTCTGTGCGGTAATATATTCCCTCCGTACCTTCATGATAACCTTCCCGGATGCCTTCTTCAGGTAACTCTCGGACTGTTTAATCTCCCCTGCATTGGACAGGCGGATGAGCTCTGCCCTACTATCCTCTATTTCCGTATTCTCTGCACTTGGCGGTTCTTGTTCCATCCTCTTTAATATACTATATGAACTTTTACTTCATGATTGAACGGGTGTATTAGTCCCACTTCAAGATTGGAATACTTATTCTCCTTCAACTTTTCTTTAATGGATCTCATTTCTGCATTGTCAACAAGGAGGTATTCATCCAGAATAATCTTCATGTCCTGCCTATTCGGGTTATAGAACGTCACCAATTTTGAAATATTCTGCTTGTACGGCTTAGCAATGGAGGTCAGCTGTTGGGTAATAACAATGGTGGAAATACTCATGTGGCGTGCGCTAAACCCAAGGTCAACCAACTCTCCCGTATGGTCCTTCACAGACTTAGTGCTGGCACAGTCGTCCAGAAAGATGAGGGATTCCCTTCCCTTGGTGAAGTCCACTACAAATTTAAGGTAGTCCTCCACATCATCCTGCCGGCGGGGGATAACAAAGAAATTGTCGTTCTCGTGAATGAAATCCTGATCATAGGTTTTATTCCAGTGATAGGTAATATATTTTCAAATTGATGGAAGAATGTCGTCTTCAGTTCCCGAATGAGATCATGCGTCTTCCCGCAGGTCGTCATACCTACGATAATTATGTTGAATGGCATTTTATTTTTCCGTTTAAATAAAAATGAGTAGCGGAGAGAAAAAGGAGAAGATTGTTAAAGAGCAAAAGAAAAATAAGGAAGCAAACGTTGGTGTTAAGGTGGGTAAGGGTAGTCTAACCTTTGGTGCAGATGCAAGGGTTGAATTTAACAGCTCCAGCGTAAAGAACTACAAATACATGAAGAAGTGTGAATGCTGTCCGGAGCCCAAGCCAGAACCGAAACCCAAACCCAAACCCATCAAACATAAGGCTAAGAAATAAAAATGGGATGTCTGTCCTCAAAACCTGAAACCGCAAACAGAATAAAATACAACAAAAACCATAAAAGAAGAAAGATGTTCAACCTTGGCATTGCCATCGAACGAGGTGACATCACGATGAGCGCACATACCCAAATCGGTTATGCCAGCACAACCGTAAAGAAATACGATAAACAAAATGATGAGAATACCACGGAAACTAGTGTGGCTGTGCCTGATCAGCCTCCTGCTAATTCCAATAACGGTTGAGGTTCTCCTTGTTATCGTTACCCTAAGGTTACTACTACTTCAATTTTAATGGTTAATAAACATTAAAATTTATTCAACATAATCCCAACCCAGCCTAGTCCCAGTCGTTCAGAAGTAAACCTGAGAAAAAACGTGGATATAGTACGAGACTGGGCCTAGGTGTGATGTCACCGCTAAAGGTGCTTCAAAACGCCTAGCAGATTTCAGTGTTTTTAATATGGCGGAAAATTTGCATATACAAATAACCTTGTTAATACGACAATGTTCGTTGATCATATTCGATGTCTACATAACCAAATTCAAACCGTATTAAAAATGTGCTCAATGAAAAAACAGTTTTGTCGTATAATCGTTGATGTTATTTATATACTCGCAAGTTGTGATCAACACTAGACCATACACAACTACGCTTTCTACTTGACAAGTTTAAGTAGCTGAGGGGATTGGAAATATTTGCCTTACATGACTGTGTTGTCAAAATATTTTTAGTCGGAGACTCGGCAGTCGGCACAATTTTCAAGCTTCTAGAGAGCATTTAATGGCTTTATATTTTAGTAAACACGAGTCATATTTAGCCCTTTATTCCATTCTGACCGTATCGTAGCAATACGTAGCCTATTTCATTGTTCCGACAGTATTAGAGCAAAACTAATGACCTAATTGTAAACGCAAAGGAAATTTCCATAACATTTTCTATTTACAAATGCGGTATGCTTGGTAACCAGGCCAGGGACCACTTTTGTGAAATCAGGGACCATTTTACCGAAATCTGCTAGGCTCTCTCGCTGAAGCGTTTCGCACAGCACACCCAGCCATAAAACTTTTAAAACTTATTTAAATATAACAAAGCAGCGTACAGAGAGAGAGCCTGGGACTAGGCTGATCCCAACCTAATACCTCAAATATTTTCCTACACCGATCGTGGGGAACCTTTCCTTTAGGAATCTTTAGTAAAGACCAGTCAGCCTCCACACCGAGCCGTTTACATACCTGATAACTAATAATATTGAGATTAGGCAGTCTCTTCCCCCTAGGTTTCTCTGCCTCACAAACTACAACAATCCTATTTATGATATTGAACGATCCTCTGCCGAACAACTGATACCCGTACACACCCTTCCTTTTTATAAAACCATAGACCTTGGACTCTATGGTAGCCGGCTTACATCCCGTAATTGCTCTGTTCCACCAGCCATATTCGGAAACGTAACGAGTTCTGTCAAGTATTAGTCCACATTCACGACACGTTCTTTCCTCATTTATATCGATAAACTGATGTTCACACCCCTCGAAACAAAAACGTCCGTTAGGAAATTCCACAGGTTCCGGCTTTTTAGGACGAAGAGAATCCAAGTATTCCTTTTCCGCTATTCTAAAGTTCTTCATTATCTTCCTCTTCCTCTCCATTCACGATTCCCATCTTATAGCTGGATTCTGAAGATATTTCATAAAATCTTTTTTAGTTTTACAAATGTCGTCCAAGCCGGACAATAACTTAGTATCTATAACCTTCTTATCAAAATCCCAATTAATGGAATCGAAGTACGCTACCTGAATAAAACACGAATCCTTGTATTCCTCCCGCACTATAATTTCCCAAAATAATTCCATGTTCCGATTAAATTTTCCGATAGATATCTCGAGGGGAGTATACAAATCTTCCTGAATCTCCTCGTAAGGCACTTCGTTGAAATCCATACCCTTTACGTATGCACAAACCTTACCCCTAAACCATCTACCACTTTCCCCCGTCAAAACTCCGACAAGCGTGCGGGATGCGGCGGGCATGCGGAAGATGTGGCGGACGGAGGTGCGGACGGACCGCGTCGGAAAGGCGGAATTCCGGATGTGTCGGAGGTCTGACAGATTTCAAACTCATCGGGTCAACACCCACGAGGATTTGCGGCAATTTTGTCGGAGGTGCGGACGATTTTTGTTCGATGTTGGGGATATTATTGTAAATTTGTCCGATACAGCGACAAATCCACTTTGTCCCGCGTGCGTACTTGTGTGGGAATGCGCGAGCACGGGGGAAGTGTCCGGCAGGCACGGGCGGCGCGGGGAATTGGGCAACCGGAAGTGACGTCATCGATCCTATTCCGGGAAGGCGGAATTCCGGGAAATAGGCTGATGACGTCACGATCCACTATAATTTGTCTTACATGAAGTATTAACCAAAAAGTAGCCAGAATCCGCATATACGCACTACTGCCGGCGAGAGGCCAACCACGGGCCCCAGGACAAAATGACGATTGGTGAACACGGCCCTCTGTTCCTCTCGACTCTCCCGCTGGCTATTTGTAATCGCAATCAACAAGAGAATTGCCAGCGAATTACTTGCAAGAAATCGCCCCATACCTAATAAAAACGCAATGTGAACGATGTTCAGCTAACTGTTTTTTCTGAAAATATGATCGAAAAATCTATTATTTTACATTTGGTATACGTTTCGCAAATCGATGACGACGATCAGCGGATAATGTGTGAGTAGAAGTATTTCATTTAGGACAAGCATAAAGCGATGATAAACAATACGAACATTTTACCGAGATTTCCGGGACCCTCTGAGCACCCTTCCTGCCCCACCGCCCTCTCTCCGTCCTTGAACCAAATTTATGAACATAATAGGAGAAATTCTTCAAAACTTCACAAAAGTTATTAAAGGACAAATTATGTAGAACACACTGTCTCAAATAAAGGAAAGGAGTTGATGTATATGGAATTCGTTAGAAACAAAACTCCTACAACACCTTCAATAAGCAAATTAAACAACATTCTTCGCTGTACACACTTGCCAATATATAAGACATGCAAAAAAACACACTTCTTTATGTATATTATATAATTCGGTATAATGTAGCTCAATCACCGTAAAAAATTCAAATGCGTCTATAACATATTTAGTATTGATTTATATATACCGGGTGTCCCAAAAAAAAGTACTCCGGTTTGATTCGTAATAACTTCTAAACAAGTAAAGCTTTTAAAGAGAAATAACTTGCATCAAATAGAGGAAGGACTAACTTAGATTTTGATATATTACAGTTGTATTTCACTTAAAAATTCACGGAGATATTAATCTTTAAAATCGGGAGCATATTTCTGGATGTGTCTGAAATATGCAAAAAACGGCGTATCAAATATTAATCAAGATTTGCCCGACTGAAACATGCACTATTACCAGTAAATAAATGACACTTGACAAATTGTTTATTATGAAACAAAGTATTATTATATCTAAATTCAAGAAATTCACGTGTGTTCCTAGCACGAATACGTTTCCTTATTTCATGAGACCACTGCTTCGCGAAGGATCGTCATGGATCGTTCGTAGTTCTGAATTAGGGCATCCTGTCACAATGGAATTGTGAAGCTCTTCTAACTTCTGCAACGTTCTGAAATCTTGTTAAGAACACCCAAACTCTTTTGCCTTTTCTTAATCTTGGCAAGTTCAGAGTAAACTGAGAATTATATGAAACACAATCAAACCAGATAACTCCATAAGACATAACAATTAAGCAACTCCCCAGAGACATGCAACATTTTTGGAACAAAACGTAACAAAATAGTAGCGTTGATATGGTGATGTGTATTTGCAAAAAGCAATATTATTTCCTTCAATAAAGAATAATATTCATCCTGCTCTAACCGAGAAATAATCAACTCAGTCTGTTTGAACCCATTAAAAACATAAAAAAATTAGGCTATTTAAGAAAAATTTAAGCGCCTGCCTTCCATGGTCAGTCTTTCATGTACTTTTAAGTTTGTAAAGACCTAATATTAAATACTTGCATAATTTCGAACGTTCATATTTCAGGAAACAATGAGCTAAGACTTACATGTAAGATGTCTAAATCTACGCCATATCCCTTACAAACCCTAACGATAATTCGCTGAAATACAAGTTAGCCTGATATGTCATTAAGCAAACAAACGCTGGAGTTAATATTTGATATGCCGATTTTCGCTAATTTTAGACACATCCCAAAATATGCTCCCGATTTTGAACATTAATATCTCCGTGAATTTTTAAGTAAAATACAACTGTAATATATCAAAATCTAAGTTAGTCCTTCCTCTATTTAATGCAAGTTATTTCTCTTTAAAAGCTTTACTTGTTTAGAAGTTATTACGAATCAAACAGGAGTACTTTTTTTTGGGACACCCGGTAGTAAAATAGTGAATTAATATATTAAACTGAATAAGAATTATTTAATTGGTGCATTTTAATTTACATTTAACATTTATTAATTAATTAAAGGGGGATAAAACAAAGTAAGGTAATAACAAATTATCCAAATCCTGTTCAGGTCTGATGACATTTTCAGTGGAAAAACATTTTTGATTATTTTAAAATTTTTGATGCGCCCAATTGCTCTTTCTACATGCACTCTAAGAGCAGCAATTTTCCGTGTTTCAGTTTCATCGCTAAGTGACAGTTGGGGTGCGCCATTCAAAAATGGTGGTATATTCAGCCCAACACCAGCCGGCATATTATTTTCTATGTCGAACCCCCTGTCTGCCATAACATGATCTCCTGGTTCAAGTAAATTAAGAATGCCACAATCCTTGGTGACTTGTTTACCACTAGACCGCCCAGCATATAATTTAGACACGAATGTTGGATAACAAGCTGGAGAAATTCCAATTAATCCCTTTGCTGTGTTATGATTTTTATATGATGAGTATGTGGCTGATTGACTTCTAAATGAAGTAGGCATTTCTACAAGTAGTTCAGTACAATCAATTATTACACGGGTGTTTGGGAATTGGGAAGGTATCTTTGAAAGGCTGTGGTATGGTTTGTTGTATATATTCCTGTGATGCCCAAATGGGAATGGCCCTTAACCTGTGGTACTCTAACCAAGTGTGCTTCTGAGATGCCAAATCGGTAAGCAATGTCAGCTCCCATAAGCCCACATCGTAAGCGAACCAGGACCCTGAACAACTCTTGCTCTGGTGATATTGACCTTGGTCGTCCTAATTTTCGAGTTGATTCTGATGTATATTCCACATTGTCACTTGAACAAGCGTAGGTT